CAAGTCATATTATTTTCTATAATAGTTGATGTTTTTCATCGCGTTTTTAAAAACAGGTAAGTTTTGTAAAATTCAAATGATTGTAATTTTTCCATGAAATGATAACCTTTTTGTTGTGTCAGATGAATGGTGGGATAGCTGACTATTGTCCCTTACACTTGTAATATCCTGATGTTTTAACGTAGCTGTGGAAGTATTTGATTTGGTTAGTTCTGTCATATCTTCAGCAATATTTGAGATGTTTCTATCAATACTTTCGGAGTTGAGAGGTGATGAACTGTTTAGTTTATCATTTGATGAAGGTGTTTTTTCGTAGCTTTTAAGATCCACTTGTTTTGAACATGCATCCGATTTAGTGAATCCGCTGCTGGTCGATGTCCCACTTTCAGAATGCACTCGTGACCGTTGTGAATCTTCATGCACTTTTGCTTCTACTGATTCAGTGTCAGCATCGTGACCCACCGCGTGTCCATTATTCTTTCCATCAGTACCACCCAATAATATCGTTTTTTTGCCGTAATCCTTTCTATCTGTACCATCCAGTGATATCTGATCTTGAATGTCATCATTTCCCATTTTGAACACCTTCAGCACATTGTCTTTCTCGTAGTTGGCCTTCAATGAATGAAATAAAGTGCTCAAGTGATTGTGATTAAATATACAAACTCCAGGTGTATCAAATGAAATTTTCTGATTAATAATTTGGATTAAACTATCGATGAGTTTGGAGCACAAATTTCTCAACTATATAAAGTTACAGTGCAATAGATGGGTGAGATGAGTAGGAAATTAGAAAAAAATTGAATGAATTGATGAATCGAAACCATTGAGTTATTGATGAGAATATCGACTATAGTCGAGGGCAGAAGCTCACAGTTAGGATGAAAATTTGGCTGTTGAGTTGATTCAAATTCAGATGATTTGAATATATGAATCAAATGGCGATTTATAACATGTCGTTTCAAACTTCGTTTATTTATCATTATATGACCACAAATCGGACATTGATTACTTTGTAAGGCCTCTTAAAAGATTTCAGTTCGTTGAAATTACTCATGAATACAGGCTTTTCGAAGTGATAAATAATTGTAAACTTATGGTTTGATTATATTTTGATTATACATAGATCTAATTCCATTTTACAAATCAGTTCTGCCGAAAAGCGTATCGTAAGAGTGAGATGGATCTCAAAACTAATTGTTATACTCCCTCTAAACAGGGAAGACTGATCAATAAAACATATACATCCAGTGATGAATTCTACTGAGAAATGCATCATTTTGAAGCGTGCATAGTTTCGAAACATTCAGCGTAGTGAAAATTAGTGACCAGCTAAATCGCCATTGTCATCTTGTATCATATTTTTACAAATGTGAATTTTCTTTAAATCCAATTGAATCAACTCGAAAAACGAACAAACCTCCAAGATTCTGATGCATATTGCAGATTGTTTCCCAAATGGTATCAAAAGTTGTTTTAAAATGTTCAATAAAATGTTGATCCCGCAGATGTCTTGAATAAAATTTCATTGAGCATACTGGGCAGTTCACTGATTTCATTAGTGTTGTTCTCCTATCAGAATGATTCTCCTTCAGATGCCTTTTCAGTTCATTAAATTCTGCAATTCATTCTCGGTCTTAAAAAGTATCATCAGCGTCAAGTCCTTATTATTCAGCACATTGTCTGACAAGGGTCAGCAAGCGCTGTTATTCTGCTGGTAATGCTTGGATATATCATTCAGCCCAGTGATACAATCAAATTGGTTAACCGTTGAGCTATTTGTTGCGTGACAAAGGAATCTCATGAAATCGATACGAATCAGTTCACGAAAGGAATTGGAACTCACGAAAAAAAGATCGACAGCATTTTGTGCACTCGAACAAAGCATTCACACCGTCCTTATCTCGATAATGTGCTGCTTCATGATCCAACAATGCCGATGTGGTCTCTCCACAAAGTGTACAAACTTTCAAATTTCTTGCATTCGTTGCTTTTACTCTACACTTAGAGCACCATTTTTTTGCTTGAGCATGCTGTAATTGTCGGTAGTAGTGCAACGGTTTATCGTGACTTTATTCACGGCATTGTTTATTTATGCAAAAGAATGGAAATTCTCTTGGCTTCCGGAAGTGACAAATTCGTAGTTTATCGAACATTTCGAGTAAACACAACGGTCGGTCATGTTTGGTGATCATTGTTTTATCTACCCTCAAAACTGGAATGTCTAAATTGCAGTCAAAGGTTTAACATTCAAAACACGAACCTCAGATGCACTATAAGCTTTTAACTCGCTATAGGTTTGGAATGGCTTACAACATGATTGACAAATACAGCAGTTGCCTGAAATAATGATTACTCGAGAATCACTTCGATATGCAATAGGCACAATATTCTTTGTGCAAAATTTGGTGTTTATAATTCTGTATTCAATTGGTATTCATAGCAAAACTCAAATAGTATTCAGATCTTAAGTGTTTATTTGATAATTTTGAAAACACTTCCGAAAGATTCGACACGAGTTAGATAATTGAAAGTGGCATTGGAGTGGTATTAGGAATGATTCATATGGTAATGATGTTTTGAATATTAAAGACAAATTTATCTGTGATTGATGATGTGTAATCAACGGCATGTTATGTCAACGTAAAACTAACCACTTTGAGAGGATTCGTCGCTAAACTCTGAAGAGTTACTCGAAGCATTCGAACATTCGGAATCTGCTTGTTGACGACGGCTAGTTGTGAGTTTCGGTGTCAGCACCTTAGCACCCATAACGCTCTCACATGTTTTTCCAGTGCGAAGTGTTGAATGATCAATATGAATTCTATAATGACGAGACAGATTTATGTGTGATTATGTGTAATCATTTGAATTTGAAAAATGTCTTAAACCAATGAATTATCTCAGTTCCGTTCAAATCTCTCAATCAGTTGAAGAAGACAATTTTTCAGTTGAACAATACTCTGCGACAAACAATTTGTTTGTTGTTGCTGAGAACTTGTTGATTTTTTTCCTCATTTTACACCTGATGATTAGTGCTGGAATAAGTTTGAACAATGAATTCACTTCAAATAACAATTTCATTTCAACGTACAACGACATTAGATTGATGGTATTGCAACTGTATTGAGATGTGTGATTTTGTTGCGAGTTAAAGATTGTGAACGTTTAATTCAACATTCCTAACATCACGTTCACTGATTGTTTTGAGCATATTCATTATCGCGTTGATATGCATACTTGATTGAATGTCGTGCTCTTCGTGAATCTGAAACTATCAAAACATCCAAAATTGATGTTTTCATTTTCAGCTCAACAACTAAT